ACTGTATGTTCCTTCAGTATCTTTTTCAAGAGAAGGAGAAGTTCACATACTAAACTAGAGCCAGTGATATCTCATTAAAACATAAAGCATATAACGTTTTCAAGCCAGGAGCAAACTTCTGTGATGTACAATAAATCTGCTTCATAACTAAGCAGACCAAAATGGTCTAAAAATCTATCAGTAGTTGTGTCAGATATCATTTAGAAGAATGTATTCTTTGAATTCAGAAGAATTGTATCGATTTTTCCCCATATAGTTCTCTTCCAAGTAAACCCAACTCAGAGCCCACCAGCACTCGTCCTCTTCCCCAATTATTCAATTTTCGACTCTCTATTTATACAGTAGTTCTCAAACACTGTCTAAAATTCGAGTTCAAAGTTTGAGTTTTAGCACTAGACTTATGGCTGCCCATTTGTCCATCGTCTTCCAAAGACATTGAAGACGCCCCAAGAATACTCTGCGATCCCCTTTGTTCTTTCACGTTCGCCTCCTGGCAGCATCTCAGTTTCCCCTACACACCTGCCACCAGGATCACGATGCTCCAAGTGGCATCACACTTCTCAGGATACCCCAGCTTGGCTTTTCTACAAGTACTGGCCTATCACCAAGCTCCTGAAATTCGATTTTTCGATAACTTCATTCCCATTTCTCCACAATGCGGTTGTTTGGGCCTTTGTCTTCTTTTGTCTCCCTTTCAGCAGAAACAATCCTGTCTCCTCTCTCAGCAGTAGCTCCTCCAGCTCCGCCTCCACCATAATGGACAATTTTCTCTGCTTCTCTAGGTTCAAAGCCACCCGGTCCCCCTTCTAACACCATATCTTAACCAATCACTTCATATTCTTGACTCGCTCTCACTCTATAGTTGACCTCAACACTCCTCTTGATAAGGTGGAAAGTGCATTCCCTTCAGCCCTGCTTCCAGCTACAGCCCCTTCCGCCCTCGCTACTCTGTCTGCTAGACCTGCCTTCACTCTCAGCACATCAATAGCTTAAAGTCCCCAGGCGGTTATTCACCACTCCTCGCTGTCAGCCTTTAATGCCGCAATCCTTACCTTCTTAACTCTAAAATAACTTTTGAAATCTAAACTTCTGGAGATGTGGTGCTACTATGGTCTATGGTTACCACAAAGCTTTCTCACCAAGAGCAGCTGATGTCTTTGCCACATATGATGATATCATTGACTGATAACAACTTCTTTCACAATGTATTAAGCAGTCTCACAGCTCATGCCTGTAGGGTCTGTGCTTCCAAAGCCCACTCTACTTCGTTCTGCCCTGGAGCCACAGCTTTTGCCTCTACCTTTTGCCTCTTCCATTATCCAGCTCAGCTCCCATGCATTCTTCAGCTCCCCAGCTCACTCCAGGCTTATCAGTCTCGCAGTCCACAGATGACCAGCAGCTCTCTTTCAGATATGTACTGTATATCTATCCACATCCCCCCATCTGCAGCGTGCTTGTTAGTCATTCAGACCACCCATTCGTGGAATTTCTACTAGACAACCTACAGAATGGATTTTATCATTTCGAATTCCAGTTAACACCCTGGAAACACTCAACTCTGAAATTCACCCTCTCTCACACCTCCCGACACCTTCAAAACTCAATTCCATTTCAGAGCTCTTTGTTGTTATCAACCTACTTTTCTTGCCAAGTCATTTCAGCGTCGCTACCTCCATCTATGCAAGAAAGGTCACTCATTCTTCAGCTGTTAGGTCTTTCGATCCCTACCCCCCCAAAAAAACATCTGTCGTTTCTGCCTGAGTCTCAGTCTGAGACTCAATGGTTAGGCAGTGCTTGGCCCTGCCAATCCAATAGCTCCATGGTCTTCTGCCAGTCTAACTGTCCTACCTTAATCTTGCAGTTTGGCCAGCACTGCAGAAATCCATGTTGTGATTTACATATTACCTATCTGAATTTTCCTTGTAGATGGAGAAGCATAAACTCACACTTACTTTTGAGTGTGGGTCATTTGAAAATGAACTATGAAAAGGTCTCAGTCTGGTTCAACTGAAATGAACTCAGTTGAAAGGCTGTTTTGGAACATTGCCATTACTCAGTGAAACTCAATGAACCACACAACGTTTGGAGAAAAAAAAGGTGAATACCCCTAAGTGATGCCCTTTGTCTGTACGGGAGGTTCACTGCATATGATCCTCCTGCAAAAAAAACTTTTTTTCCTTGTTAAGACGGAATTTTTGTGAATAGTTAAATCTGAGCATATTGTGAAAAAGACCTTGCATCCAATTAAAACAGTTTGAATGAACATCCCATGAAACTATGGATAGGATGAGAGAACCCGTTATTCAAGGACTATTATCAAGCCTTAAAACACAGTGAATCCTCAAAAAAAAAGTTAAAAAAGACTGATAGAAGAAAAAATGTGTTCTGATTAGAATTATAAAGAACAAAAGAGTTATCTTCAAAGAAATTAGCTGAACACCTTTCAGTACCCAGAACAGACAACACAGTTGCTTTAACCATTAGATAAGGGATAAAAAGTGTAAATCACCATGGAGAAGTGGAGAAAAAAATGGTTCTTTTAAATATTCAACAGATGAAGTGTCTATTGGAATTCAACACATAGCTTGAGAATAAAAACCTTTTTAGAACAGAGTTCTGTGGTTGCTAGGAATGAATCTTAATTGTTTCATAATGTAAATCTGTATCCACTACCATTAGTCAGCCTCGACCATAAATGATTGAAAGCCAAAGATTAACTGGACACAGCCTGATATCACAGACTGATATTTCTTTATTTTACATGTAGTTTCTAAACTGGCCGATGAAGTCAAAATTAGAAATACCAGATTTTAGAATCATCTTCTAAAGACTGTGACAAGATATCTGCAAGACAATGACTTTAAAAGTTGATGGCATGGAGGTACTACACAGCAAAATGTGATGAGGAAAACAGAATAGCCAAGGGAGATATCAAGGACTTTGGATTTCACTACCTTCAACATCACAGAGTGATGTCAATGACTGTGCCCAGCAAGTTCCTCGAATTGGCCTTCCTTCCAAAAATGTAGCTCTAGCCATGGCAGTGATGTGGTCAATTTGTCCAAATGGCCACAACTGCCACAGGAAAAAGACTGGCAGTTTATACTTAAATCCTGATTCACTTACAGCTGTTGAACCTTACAGTATATGCTTTTAGATGCCTTTTTTATTATTTTTTTGTCCAGCACTTAATTAGGTATCTTGGGTTGTATAAACAGCTCCTGAATGCTAACAGCTTGGAAAGACTTCTGTCAAAGTGAAATTCTGAATCTTTTGTCCGTACATCTCCTGTTTTCTTTTAATTTAAAGGCACCTGTGTTGCTTAGTTATTATTTGACATTATCCTACCTTCTGCCCATATTACAACATAGTGTACCACGGACAGTCCACCCAGCTGTCTGAAAGACACCATTCTGCAGATTTTATTCTGTGATAGATCATATTTTAACCAATGATAGATCTGGGGTAAAACACAAACCAGCCACATTGATCTGCTATATATTATATACAGGGCATGCTTTATTCCGAGATGATTTGTTTCACAAATAAATCTCAGTCGTATGGAAAATATTGCTGCAGAGAGTTACATTACATGTTTTAAAAAAGTACCATTGTGAATTCCAAAGAAATCTTCAAAAGCATAAACAGATTTATATAAAACTTATATCTCTTTACATCCTTATACATACATTAGATTCTTCTCAGGGATCGCAAATAAACAATGAGTTCACTGAACGAGAGAGAAAAAAATATGCTAATGTTGAATGTCTAATTCTGAAAGCTAAAGGTAGCAATCTCCATTTCATACCTGCCTCTGGCTGTCACAAATTGTGTTTAGAAAGCAGGAGACCAAAGGATGTTTTTAACTCCAAGCGACAGAGAAGCCGAAAAATTGGAAAATAGATGGATCATTTTCAGGACTGGAAGTGCTTTTATTTTGTTACAGAATAAGAAAAAATACTGAATCTTTAGCAAGTGTGTATCAAACTCATTCACTCATTCTTCTCCCATGTTTCACTGTCCTCTCACAATATAAAGTATGAATCGTATCTGCTTGCATATTTACTGTTCAATTATGGCCACTGGTCATTGTTTACACAATTCTATTATTGATAAAGAAAGACTTTGGTTTTTAGTTATATGCTTTCTAAAGTTGAGGTGCAAAAGACATTGCCTTAAACATAAAATAGTGTCTTCCAGGGTTACACAAAAAATATTTTTTCCTAATTGAATAATCAGCATTTACAGAAAGAAAGATCTCAGTGCTGTGTCATTTGCTAAAAGTGAGACTTTAGTGACAAGAAAGAATCCCGTGACCTTCATTTCTGAGACAGCACTTCTTTCCCTGACCCCAAGATGAACAGGTATTATTACAGCAAAATCATCCAAAACCATGCAACTAAACCAAATATAAAAAGTTCAAAGTGTTAATTGTATTTAATTTCCATATCTTCCTTTCAGCAAGCAAAATATCAGCAAGAATTTTATTAACTTCGCAACTTGTGAAGTAGTCTAATCAATATAAAAAATACTTTTATTAGGACCTTAGTGAAACAGCAGTCTTTTGCATACTGTAGATGTACAGTATACTGTAGCTGGACTTTCAGTGGTCAATGAAGTGGCTGGGATCTTTATACAGTATTAACACTGTACTGGGATCCTATAGGATAAAAATGTTGTACAGTATATGGAAGCCAAGGACAGGCTCTGCAGAATAGACGGCACATAACTGACTCTCGGCATCTGCTCTAGTAGAAAAGGAAACTGGGAGAGGGTGTAGACAGTTTGTATTGAGAGTGGCTGGAACAATTCAGAAGGAAGGTCTTTATTGCTGAAGGGAAACCTCCTGAGTATGAACACTGAACCCGCTGGCCTGCTCTGACGACAAGGGGCATTTTGCAGTGCTTCTGAGATCACGGTTTCGATTACATGTTGCACATTTTACAGCATGTAATTAATGAGCAAAAAAAAGCAATTATAAATGGAAACAGATGACTCACCTCTTGTCTTGTTAGACAGGCGTTTGCGCTGATTACTGGAGGTGTTGTGAGGAAGGAGAGTTGTTTGTTGGTGATTGGTGTCTACAGGACTGGTGGCAATGATGTTATCCTTGTACTTGCTCATTAGGGACAACTTTGTGTTGTCACTGCCTGATGATACAGAACACACAATTAGGAGCAATACAGAAGTGTAGGGAAAGCTTAAGCCAAACAGGAATTCTCACTGTAATGCCAAGATCAAAAAGCTGTGTACGTTTTGGCATGCTGTACCAAAATTGTGATAGATAAGGTTGACAAAAAAAAGGTCCTTTTACACTTGAATTGCCAATCTTCTGTAATTTAAAGTATTTTATTGTAAAAAAATAATTGGTAAAAGCATGAAAAGTGAAGCTAAAATTAATTCAGTAGCACATCCTTTGCTGCTCAGTGCCTCCAGACATTTGGAAATGTATTATTGCCAGTTTAAAATAACTCACCCATTATACACATATTTATGCGAACCATCATCTGAGACTTTTTTACTTTCATTTTAAGGTTTATTAAAAAGTTAAAATTAAGACAAATGGATTGGACTGTGTTTCAGATTATTTTTGCTTAAACAATTACAAACTATTTTTGGAATTAACCTATAATTCAATTCTGGAACTGAATAAACAGATATTCAAAATGGCCTTTTCAGATTAAAATGTAGAGTAGTTTGTGAAAGTATTATTCAAAGTCTTTTCAATATCCTTTGACATTATGTCTCTCTTGCATTAAAGAATCATCGGTAAAATTCAAAGGCATGACACTGTAAAGTATTACATTTGACAGTGAAGTTAGAACCTTTTATTCCAATTCTTTAAATTTTTCATTATTTTTTAGCTTTTTTTATCCAAACACTATCTTCAGGAATGGCATGGAAAAATCATGTGTCATCTATTTCTTGGCCTTGAGATAAAGACTTTTTCTTTTTTTTTTTACAATCTACCAGTCAAAGCATCACTGCAGTACATGAGTAAATTCTACTAAAATCATTTCAGTAGAAGTCACCAGGCATATCAGGTTAAGATCTGAATTGATGTCACTGTCTTACGCACCAGGAGTGAGGTCCATGCTAGATTTGTCATTGCAGCCCTGCAGGGAGTCCAATGTTCGGGTGACCTGACTGGCAAAGTCCTCCCCTCCATTCATGCATTCGCGCTGCAGGTGGTGCCGCAGGTCGGTGATGTCATACTCATAGCCATCGAGGATGGGTGTCTCGCGGATGCTGAGGGTCCCGCTGGAGTTGTGCCCCTGCCCGCGGGAATTGCGAAGGCTCTCCCTCCCGCCCATCAGCACCGAGGGGATGTAGTGGATCTCGTTGGCGGCCTCGGCGCTGGCGCTTTTCTGGGGCTGAGGGACGCGCCGCCGTTTGCACCAGCGACGCCGAGTGTACAGGATCAGGACCAGGCACAGGATGGACAACAGCAGTGCGATCATCCCTCCCTGCGGCAGAGAACAACCAGCTTCTTATACACAGTCAAGAATCTCAAAGCACTTCACGTTACACCCCGTTGAGCAAACCACGACTCACTGTAGTCTCCCCTGAGATGGAAAATGTTGAAGCCATCTTACAGCAGCACACCACAGAACTATCAGGCCACACCGATATCTCAAAAGTGAACAGGCAAAGCACATTAATAAAAATGAAGGTTGTATTCACCAGGGGAACACTAGTATTTTTGCTATACTCCTGCGTCCAAGAACACTATATTTTACTATGTGTGTATTTTTCATTTGCACTTGGTATTAGGGTTAGCAGTGTTTATGCATGGCTACGTCATCTGAAGCCTCCTTAGAAGAAACAGACACTGGCACCATGGGTACAAGCAGTTGGAAGCTCTATATAAATGATATCAAGATTGGGATTCAATCCAAAATTGTCAGAAAGAGGAATTAAAAGGCCCCCAATGCAGCACCAACATTTTTTAGTTGGGGTGAAAGCAGCCAACCAAATCTATTTCTGCTGCTATGAGAAGTCAGGACTGGTGTTATCATTCAACAAGAGTACAAGGGGAGAGCAAGGAATGGAACCTTGCTGAGAACAGAAAACCCAAAGAAGAAACCCATTTTCAAACCTTAAAACAGCCAGATGTTGAAAACCCCTACTAACTACACTCCCTAGACAGGATGTCCACAGAATTTTTCATGTGATCAAGTGCATGGTATGACAAAAATTTAAAATAACTCTCTTAGTTTGAATTGTTGGAAACCATACTTACAGTGTATCACCTAAAATACTTTTCTTCAGGATTCCTACATCCGTATTCCAAATAGTAACAGCTGCTCTGGGTTTAAATGAACTGAGACAATAAGGTTGCTGGGGGAAGCTACTCTCTAAGTTGTGCTCGAGAAGTCCTGACAGACAATTTGAAAAGAAACCGTAGGTCCTGAAATGGGTGAAGACTCTTTAAAAATATCTGCTAGAGTATGAAAAGTCAAGAAAAGAAGTGGGAATCACCTATAAGGGGTTCACAATTATAGAAAATAGAGTGTAAGAATGACATGTTTATGTGACTCATTTCACCAAACACCAAGTAGTAATTAATGGCAGAATTATGGAGCCAAAACACAATTCTTGATGACTATATAAACAGACTAGACTTTCCTGAAGCAGACACAAAGATACAGGAATACCATGATAAAACCAAAACAGGTAGAGATAGCAAAACAAAGGCATATGAATAAAATCTTATTCTTTATTAAATGACAGAGACATTCAGTAACAACAGTATTAACATCCATTCTAAATGAACCTTCCTGAATGGCAGCATATACAGTATTATTTTAAGCAGCAGAGGGACTAATTGGAGCTCAAATGTCAGACAAAATTCAGGAGGGATGCCATTAACACCAAGAGATTTACCCTTTGTCATGTCCTTTAGCTCAGATGAGGAAATAGGCATTGGTGCTATGTCTTCAGGAGAAACACTATTAAGTGAAGAGACTGATGCAACCTCATACAATTAACTGGGTCATACCAAACTGTATGATTTAGAATTTAAAAAAATAAAGAGTTTATCTGCTTGGCTCTACAGTGCTGATTTAGCGGAAAGGAAGTCTCAACTTTAGTAAATGCCTGGTGCAAAATTACTAATTCTATAATTCTGTACAGATAATTTCCTTCACGGGATTAATAATCTGTCTATCTAGATACATGTACTGTATAAACAAATTTGTTATGATGTCTAAGCAACAGATTTACTTCTTTTCTAAAAGAGTTAATTTCCAGCTCAGAAAAGTGAGCTAAGAGTGCACCTGAGAAAGGTTGATTTGATACTGAATGCAATAATTTTTAAATTTGATCCTTTTACAGTACAATTATTTCAGTAAAGCTTTTGAGTAAAGGTTTTTATGTTTTTTTTTTTTTAATACAGTGCTTTTTACAGGAAAGCAATTATTAGGATATAAAATTATTTATAAATAATGCATTTATAAAAATACATCCGTACTTCAGGAAAAAACACTGCAAAAATGGTTGTGTTTGTCATTTTGTCTGCAACTGCTACGTATTTTGTTTTGCAACTTTTTGCTACCCCCCTTAAATTAATTAGAATAACAAGGAAAACTAGCCTAATAACAGACACCTCCTTCATATTGAAAGAATATGCCTGATTATTGTATCTGATCATTATACCACATGTAACTGCTGTAAATCCCTGCCTATTGTTCCTTACTATGACAAGGCCTGCACTAAAATAAATGGCTGGTGATTTTAACATTCATCATTATTACGGTTGTTTTTTTGCTACCTAAAAGCACCAAACCCCCTGAATGACTTCCAGAGCTCTTGATAAAAGCACTTCAACTGTTCCCATCAACGTAAAGATTCAACGGTGCTTTCTAAAAGCAAATTATGCGTCTTATTTGTCTTCTCTGCAGAATAAAGGGCGGCAATAAAACAAAACACAAATATGGATCACAGTTGCATTTCATCTATACGAAAAAGAAATAAAAAAGGATACTTTAGGGGACGTTTATTTAGATTTTTCAGGTTTAAGTGCTCCCAAAACTGTTAAAGTATTGTTCCACCACTTCTGGTGTTAGATATGCCCCAGTAACAATGACTCTAGGGCCATCTCAGTTGGAGAAAAAGACAACATTATATGTTCAGTAAAAATGGAATTCCAAATTCAGTCAAAATACTTTCAAAATGTCAACAGTACCAACAAAAAGCTGTGCTTGAAAAGAAAAGAAACAAGTCTTCACTACTGTTGAATCTGCTTAATATTTAGTTACTCTACCACATGGGCTACTCAATTTGTAAGGTAAAATATCTGGGGCAACTAGCAATGGAGAGCTTAAAAAACAACATGCTAACAAGAAATTCTGTTCAGCTTAATACAAAAAAGAATTTCTACATTTCACAAAAGCTCAGCACAGTATTCCTATTTAAAAATATTTGACCAAACAAATTCTAGAGTTTTTTTTTTCTTGCATAATAAAATATGAGTATTTTTTCATTTGGTTTTACACAGCTAACTGATCAGAACATCTCATCGGGCAATAATAACAATAACTTCAATAACAGAGCTGGGGAGCTTCGTTTCTAGACCCCCTCAAATCTTTGTATAAAAAAGTCCCTCCGGTTCTCGGATTCAAATGCATTTCCACATACTGTAGTTTCCACTTGTTCATGTTTCACTTTTGAAGATTTGCTTGACAGACAAAGTTCTTCAGGGTGACTTACAGTAAGATATACTTTGTTTTTCCTTATACAGCATGCAGGCTGTATGTAATGTAAAGTAATGCGTATTTACAGTACAACAAGCTAAGGAAATGAGAAATAAGAGCAGGACATGTGAGAAGAGCTTGCCAGTGCCAGACAATATGAAATGGTGTACAAACAGTGTGGACTTTAAACTATAACAGAGAGCCTGGTGGCTTGCACGCTGTGTCTACAGTGAATAGAAGTCAACAAACTGCCAGCCTCAGAGCTCAGAGACCACAGCTGGTGTCAGGACAGACGGGTTCAGAGCAGGTGCTGCAGGTCACAGACTGAAGCATGAATGACTAATGGCGGGTCATTCCACCACTCAGGTGCTAGCGTGGAGAATCAATGGGTCCCGGATGTAAAAGAACAGAGAAGAGATACAGAAAGCCTAGTGGAAGAGGTGAGAAGAAGAGAACACAACCAATTAAAATGTAATCTCCTTAACCTGAGTTTTAAATAATGAAATTAAACTCCATAAGAATTGCTCCTACAGTACCTTCTTACAGGGCTGAAGTTCCAGGAAGACTATAAACACGTCACCAAGAATATACTGTACAAGAGAAGGTCGTTCAAACTTCCTTGTTTGGTTGCTATCTTATATATATATATAATCTTTTATATCCCGAACTCTTAAAGAGAGTTTTAGAGGTCATTGAATCAGTTTCAACTGCAATACTTTGGAGTTTGGTTGCAGAGGAATCTTCCATGTAAAAGAAGTGTCTCCTATTTTCTATCTTTGGGGCCATTCAACTTAATTTCCACTCATGTCCCCAGGTCCTTGTGTGTTGACGTCTTATCACTATTTCACACAGTGGATTGTAAAAGGAAAACAGTCCAAGTGAAGTGTCAATTGGAAAAAAGACACAGCATCCACTCTAACAGGCCAGTCTTGCAGGCAACTCATTAATCACAAGGTATGTTATAGATGCCCTAGACAACAGCAGTCCACAGTCACCAAACCCTAATTAAAAATAAAAATTCTGTCCTCCCTGTGAGTGAGAACCTACCACTGCTGGCAAACAGCAAAATCTGGATTTGATCCTTCAAACGCTGTGGGATTCATTTTGTTATGGAGCTTCCAATAGAATTTGACCTTTTTAACGCTGTTAATTAGTTTTCTTTCAAAGCAGTACAATAATAACTTGCTCTGCATTCCACAAGAAAAAAGTGTGATGTGACATACTTGACCTTTACAATTTGGAAAGAATACTGTACTGTACATGTTTTACATTATTCAGTATTTCATTGAAATCTACAGTATATACTGTACATACACACTCTGTGGACTTTACAAGTTCATGATTTTTTGAAAAAATAACAAATATAAAGTATAAAATAACATACAATGCATAGTTCAAGTATACTGTATTTGTGTAATCTTCCTAGGTAGAATAAACTGAAAACGTGAAGTAACAATAGCTCAAGTTACAGATTTAAAATTGTACTGTACATTATATTTTTGTTCAAGTGATAAAACATGGAACCTAAGATTATCAAATTAAGACTGTAGTAAAATATATATAGAAGTAAAATCAAATTCTGGTCATTGTACTGACTCATTACATAAACAAGGTATCTGCAAATTAAAAAAAAAGTGTGCAAGAAACATGCATCATTTACCATGTAAGAGCATAAATATTGATTCTATCAACTGTATCAGTTGCATTAGTGACATTAGTGATCACTGAGTGAGCTGTGTTAGTTAAAAGTGTTTTGAATTTGTTAATAAAAA